GGTCTAGAAGGTAGTGATATATTCTTTTAATCATTTTATCTTCAGTTCCAAATAATATTTTATCTATCTCTGTCGACTCTATTTTTATACCCCAATCTTTTTTTATCTTTCCTATATCTTGATTGCAATTGGAGATATGCCCACCATTCCAGTTCTATCCCTTCTTCCTGAGGATTTTTCTTTGATTTCAATTTTCCTCTCTCGTCTAATATATTTTTATATGTTATTACTTTCCCTAGTTGTATGAATATTGGATGTATGTGCATTTCCAATGTTGAAATCCAATTAGGAATTTGCATATAATTTTGTGGCCTGATTTTAACCCACACGTCTATTAACGCTTGTCTAATATAATGCCTCTGGAAATACTGGTGGATCTTGTATTTCTCATCCCATAAAATGCCACCCAGTCTGCATATCATGGCCTTCCAATCTTAATAATCTCCTATTTTTTAATTGTATCCAGTCCCGCACCCATATTAATATTGTAGCTTGAAATAGTTTTCCAAATCCGGGAGACCGAATCCGCCCCTCTCCTTAGAATCTTGCAATAATTTTAATTTAATCCTTGCTTTTTCCCCTTGCCAAAAAAATCTGAGTATGATTTGGTTAAAATTTCAAAAAAAATCGTTATCTAATTTGATCGGTATGCATTGAAACAAAAATAGTATTTTGGGTAGCACGTTCATTTTAATTACAGCAATTCTTCCCATAAAAGAAAGCTGTAAGTTTGTCCACCAATCCAGGTCAATTTTAATCTGCTTCATTAATTTGTCGTAATTGTCTCCTTTAAGTGTGGCACATCTAGCTGTTAATTGTATCCCTAAATATCTTATTTTCTTTGTAGTCTGGATGCCTAATCTATCAACTAATTCATTTTTCTGTGCTCTAGTCATATTCTTAACAAGCATTTTAGTTTTTTCTTTGTTTATCTTTAGGCCTGCTATTTCACCATATTCACCCAGTACTTCCATTAGCCTTGTCCCTGATTGTAGGGGCTCTTCAATTATAAAGACAAGGTCATCTGCAGAGGCTTGCATTTTAAGTATTTCTCTTAATCTCCAATCCTTTGATTTGCTCATCTTTCCGAATTGTTCTAGTTAATAACTCCAGGGACAGTACAAACAGTAACGGGGATAGTGGACAACCTTGCCGTGTGTCTTTTTGAATTTGGAAACTTTCAGTTGTTTCTCCATTGATTATTACTTTTGCTACCTGTTTGGAATAGATTGCTTTAAACATATTTATAAAATTCTCCCCAAAGTCCACATACACCAGTTGATTAAGCATAAAGTCCCATTTAACATTATCAAATGCTTTTTGCGCGTTGAGAAAAATTAGTCCCATTTGTTTTTCATTATGAACCTCATAGTATTCCAATACATCTAATACAATCCTAACATTATTTCTTATATATCTTTTGGGCAAGAAGCCATTTTGGTCTGTATGTATAAATTCTACTAAGAATCTTTCAAGTCTCTCAGCCATTATAGCCATAAAAATTTTGTAGTCCGAATTTAGTAATGAGATAGGTCTATAATTTTTAATAAACGCCGAGTCTGAGTTTTCCTTGGGAATCAATGTAATGATTGCTTCTTCCCATGAGGCTGGTATTTTCGCATTTTTTAGAACTTCATTGAATAGTTCTATTAATATTGGACCTAAAGATTCTTGTAGAATTTTATATATTTCTGCTGGTAAACTGTCCGGACCTGGGGCTTTGTTGTTTTTTTTGTTTCTTGATTGCATCTGATAGTATTCTAGAGGTGTTATCTCTTTATTCAATATGTTTTTGATCTCTTCTGGGACTTTCGGTAATTCAGCTATTTGCAAGTATTTTAGTATATTATCTTTGTTTTTCCATTCTTCATCTTCGTATAATTTTTTATAGAACTCATAGGCCACAATTTTCTTCTCTTCATTCTGATATACAATGTCACCCTCTTCATTGTATAGTTTACTAATCTTTTTTTAATCATTATATTTCTTTATTCTGTAAGCCAACCATCTCCCTGGTTTGTTAGCACTTTCAAAAAAATTTGCTTAGTGCGTTTTATTTGCTGCGCCAGTTCTTCCTTTTCAATGGTGTTCATCTTGTGTTTAATTAGGTCTATTTGTTATTTCAAGTCACGTCTTTGTGGTTCATTTTGTAGTTTTTTCTCAGCTCTACTAAGTTCTTCTTCTAAATTTCTTTGTTGCTGTAGTTTGATTTTATTTTCCCTGGTCATATAGGCAATTGCAACACCTCTCATGTAAGCTTTGGTTATGTCCCATAAATTCTGGCAGTTTGTATCTTCCTTTTTGTTCATCTGGAAAAACAGACCCATTTGGTCTTTCATTTTCAATTTAAATTCTTTATGTTTTAAAATTGCTCTTTTCAAAGTCCATCTCCTTATTTTCTTTTGTCCTCTCCATCTAATTCTGACTGGGTTGTGGTCTGCCCAAGAGTTCGTGTCAATTGTAATATCTTCCACTTCCGAATTTAAATCTACTGACAGCCACGTCATGTCAATTCTGGACCTTATGGTCCAAATTTCACAGCCATACATTGCAACTGGGAAAACCATGGCCTTGACTATACATACATTTGTTGGCAGGATGATGTCTCTGCTTTTTAGTATGCTGTCTAGATTTGCCATAGCTTTCTTCCTCAGGATCAAGCGTCTTTTAATTTATTGGCTGCAGTCCGCATCTGCGGTGATCTTGGAGCCCACGAAGATAAAATCTGTCACTACCTCCATTTCTTCCCTGTCTATTTGCCAGGAATTGAGAGGGCCAGATGCCATGATCTTAGTTTTCTTAATGTTGAGTTTTAAATTTCAAGCCAACTTTTGCACTCTCCTTCTTCAGTCGCATCAAGAAGCTCTTTAGTTCCTGTTCACTTTCTGCCATTAGAGTGGTATCATCTGCATATCTTAGGTTGTTGATATTTCTCCTGGTAATCTTAATTCCAACTTTTGATTCATCTAGCCCTGCCTTTCTCATGATGTGCTCTGCATATAAGTTAAATAGGCAGGGTGACAGAATACCCAATTTTGAACCAATCAATGGTTCCGTGTCCAGTTCTCACTGTTGCTTCTTGACCCGCATATAGGTTTCTCAAGAGACAAATAAGATGGTCTGGTACTCCCATCTCTTTAAGAACTTGCCACAATTTGTTGTGATCCAAACAATCAAAGGCTTTAGCATAGTCAATGAAGCAGAAGTAGATGCTGTGTGCAGGACCGGAAGTCAGCAAGGTTGATATTCTTGTCCACACATATATCTATGTTACATGCATTGATAACCCTATAATTTTTAGATTGCCGGAGACAGGGATGTTCTGTATCAATTAACTCACTGTCCCCGTTGTTTTGTTTAAATATTCCTCCAGAAAATCTGTGAGTTTATTGCCAAGTATCTCAGTCCCTTTTTTGGATGGATGCAAACCATATCTTTTGTACATTTTTTCATTGAACCAGCTACAGACATCATGACTAATATAACCAAAGCCTTCCCCCTTTACACTCCGAGGTGGCGCAGCAGTTAGAGTGCAGTACTGCAGGCCACTTTAGCTGACTGTGTTCAGCAGGTCAGCGGTTCAAATCTCACTGGCTCAAGGTTGACTCAGCCTTCCATCCTTCCGGGGTAGGTAAAATGAGGACCCAGATTGTTGGGGGCAATGTAAATATATATATATATTGCTTACTGGTGTACACCGCTTAGAGAGTGCTTGCACTTAAAGCGGTATAGAAGTCTCATAAATAAATAAATAAATACTTCTTTAGCCACATATTGAATTCTACTATACACTGGCCGTTTCCATTTTGCTCCTTATACACTGGTAAAAGCTCTGAAAAAGCAAGCCTATCCTGCTGAGTTCCTGCCCCAAGCTCTGGAAATCATTCTGCACCGAAAATACATCTTTTTGGGACAGATCGTTAGTGCCAAGATGTACAATAGCATCCAGATCACAGTCCTTGCTGGCGTTCTTGACTATTTTAAAAATACTCTTCTTGTCCCTACTGGCAGTAGCACCTGGAAGACCTGAAACCTCTGTATCCTTTCCTAAATTTACATCCCTTATAACTGAATCACCAACCAGAAGGTGGCTTCTCTTTTTGGATGCTTTTCTCTTCTTGCATGACAGATGTATAATACCTGATTTGCACTTCTCCCTGTGAAAAACAAGTTCTTCATCTCGGACCATGATCCCCTGCTTATTTGAGTTATCATCACAACTACCTTGACCTTAATGTCCCTATTAAGGTCAACAAGGGCACTGTATCTGTTATGCAGGGATAGCTTTGTGTTTATGGTTCACAGCTCTCACCCTGCCAGATCTCATGGTTGTCCACACTGCCCTTCTCCTGCAGGATCTTTGTGGCAGAGGGGGCTGATAGTGTGGAGGCTCAGCAGAGTAGAAGGGCTGAACTGGATACCTAATTTCTGCCTGAAGAGCGCAGATTACAGACCCTAGATAAATAATCTGTCCTTGTAGACTAGTGATTTGTTTACAGATAGGACAGTTTCCCAGTTTGAAAAGAGTACTGCGAAAGACAGCTGCAAAACAAGTGTTCCACTGAACTAAGCCAGACATTCTGAGATGAAAGGAATCTCAGACGCACTTGCCCTGAATGTACCACCGCTGTTTTTGATTTTTAGTTATATGATTCATGCGCCATTAGGTGCGCAGGCCGCTACTTTCCTCCTCCACCCTCCTCCTCCTCAACTCACAGATTGTAACTCTTCCCAGCAACCTCTGGGCAGTTTAAATGCAATGGAGGTCCAATCAGCAAGGGCTCAGCTACTTTCCTCCTCCACCCTTTTTAAACCAATATGTTTACCTATTTCCCTTAATTCCTTCAACTCTCTATCACTCCATAATAAATCTCTATTTAATGCTATAATATGTGGGACCACCTTTAATTGATTAGCTACCCAATAATTTCTAACATTTGGAAGACCCAGCCCACCCTTTTTTAATGGTTTATACTATAATGCTTTACTTATTCTCTTACCTCCATTACAATACAGCTCCAGCAGCCTCTGTATTTCCTTTAATTCTTGATCCGAAAACTTAATTGGGATCATCCAAAACAAAAAGTTAATTTTTGGTAAAACTTTCATTTTTATTGCTGCAATTCTTCCAAACCATGATAGTTTTACTTTTCCATATTTATCTATTTTATCTTTTATATCTTTCTTTAACTTTTCATAATTTATCTTCTTTAATTCTTGAATATTTTTTTGGATGTCAATACCTAAATATTTGATACTATCTACTATTTTTAATTTATATTTTTCTTTCAATACATCCACTTCTTCTTTACCATGGTTATATAACATCATTTCTGATTTTTCCCAGTTTATTTGCAATCCACTATATTTCCCAAATTCATTCAAATGTAAATATACCCTCTCTATAGTAACTATGGGATTTTGAAATGTTAGTAATGTATCATCTGCAAATAAATTTATTTTAATTTTCTTATATACACCAATTCCTTCAATCGATGTATCTTTCCTAATTGCATTTGCCAAAACCTCCAACAATAATGTAAATAAAACTGGGGATAAGGGGCAACCCTGTCTCATTCCCCAGCTTAAGGTTATTGTCTCTGTAACATCATCATTTATAACTATTCTCGCTTTATTCTCTAAATATAATTGATTTATCAACTTTCTAAAAAATTTTTCCAAAGCCTAACTTCTCTATTAATATCTTCAATGTAGGCCATTCCACACAATCAAAGACCCTAAATACATCTAATGCTAATAAACCTGCCTTTAATTTTTGATTCTTTATATAATAACCTATATTGAATACCCTTCTTACTACATCTGACGTGTTGCAATGTATCGCGACTTTGTTTGCATTAACAGAGCTGGAGTGGGCGTGGCCTGCTCTGCAGGCCGGCAGTTTGACACCCCTGATATACATCAATGCTAAGATAATAGCAATTGGTACAAAGCAAAACAAAGGTCTTGAATTTTTTTAAAGAAAAAATTAAACAAAAATGGGAATAAACAGGCTAGGACTGATAAAAAAATAAAGGCATGTAAATGGAATAAAGCTACAGTATATATCTGCATGCTCTGTGTTGCTTCTATGAGCATTTTAAGTGCTTGGACCAAGTACAAACATCTCAGGAAATAAATTGGTTGAGTGGCCTTTGTAAAGATTGCTATTCTCCCTTGTACTCTTAAGGAAGAAAGATAGTATCTTATGTCTATCGGGGTTTACAACGAATGTATAATATTTAGAGAAACAAAGCTATTTTGAAATAATAGCAAGAAGAGATGATAGTGCAATAATCTTATAGAGAGATGTAGTAAAGTTATATTGAACAACAGGCGTTCCTTGCACGTTAAATATCACATAAAGGGAGTGAAAAGAATTTTACTTCTTTTCTATGTGTTTTCTTTGTTTTTCAAAGATGGGCTTGGCTAGCATACACTTCCAGGAATTCCCATAATGCTTTGCCAGACTGAGGTTCTGCCAAGCAAACCCAGCACAGCTGTTATAAATTAAGAGAAAATAAAATACAATTCATTTCTCCTTTTAAAAAATGGACCAGAGTCATTAAGTGAGATCATAGATGCCCATGTGTAGCAAGGAAGCATGGCAGGAGTTCTAGTATTTGGCACTTTTCAAGGATTTAAACCAACTTCTGGCTTGACTACACATTTCACATTTTTGGCAATCAATTATTCTTTCTGGAACACAGAGAGATAAACTGTAAATATCTATCATCTAATGCAAAAGTCTCCTTTGGAATAAATTTAACCATTATCCTTTGTGTCGACTTGGTCTCTATAAATTCATTTCTTTCCCACTCCATAATATGAATAAATCAAAGGGTGTTTTTTTCTCCTTTTCCTGGAAACATCTGTTATTGCAACATCTGTCCTCTGGGGTCTTCAGAATCCCATGACACTATGTTTACTCATAGGCCAGATTACTATCAGAAAGACATTTTCCCAACCCCTAACTGAAGTCAGAAAGAATATACACATATGGATTGGCTTTGAAAAATGCATAAACAGTTGATAATAAAACACAGAAGTCTGAAATTTGAAACGGAGCATTGACTGATAATCTTGAGGGACTGGTGGTCTTAATGCATGCATGTACTGATATATAATATATGATAGGGTTGTTTTTTTCTTTAGCTTCAATCCAAAGTGATTATTTACTTATCTTGAACCTCCTGGGGAATCAGAAAAGAGAAAAATGTGCCATTTTGGATTAGCAGAAGCTCTGCTCCAGATTACATCCTATACATGGTATGAGGATGCAGGTGAAAGCATAGGGAAAGCAAAGAGAAACCCCAATAAAATGTTATCTATTTGCTTGAATTAATTTTTATTGTGAGAATAATTTTCAGAGGTTCAAGTAGCCTGATCAGATTATGGAAAGACAGGTAGTCCTTGACTTACTACAGTTCATTTTGTGACCGTTCAAAGTTGTAATGACCATTTTTCACACTTACAACTGTTGCACCCCCATAATCATGTGATCAAAATTCACATGGTGGGCAACTGGTTCATAATTACCCCAGTTGCAGTGTCCCGGGGTCACGTGATCTCCTTTTGCAACTTTCTGATGATCAAAGTCAATGTGGAAGCCAGATTCACTTAAAAACTATGTTACTGACTTAACAACTGCAGTGATTCACTTTACAACTGTGGCAAGAAAAGTCATAAAATGGGGCAAAATCCACTTAACAAATGTTTCACTTAGCAACTGAAAGTTTGGGCTCAATTGGGGTCTTAACTTGACTACTGTATATGCTTTTATGCAAATCTGCACATTCAAATATATACGCAACCAGTGAAATCTTATGCTGCTATACATTTAAGTTTCCCCAGAAGATTGATTTATTATTTATCAATCAAACTTCTACACTATCCATTATGAGTGGTTTGCAAACAATATTATAAGACAGTATAAACACTTGATGAAAAGCACAGTTAAGTACAGAGTTAAAAAACAAGGTTAAATTTTACTAGTTAAAAGTAAAAAATCAGTGTTAAGGAATTAACAAGATTAAAAGATTAACAAAGCGGATGGAATGCCCTCAAGCTACCAGGCATCCCCAGGGCTGCATAACCCTCTTAGATCCTTATGCTAATGAGCAGAGCCATTTCAGAAGTTCATAGTGGGGGCTAACCTCACCTCGGGGAGCAAGATGTTCCAGAGGGCAAGGGCAATGGCAGTGAATACTTAAGTAAATTGTATCGCAGGTGGACTGGGCTTCAATATCACTATATACTATAGTACACTATATCTAAATGGTATATATATTATGCAGCCTCAGTACTAGAAACAAAGTGATTCAGTGGGTCATATCATTGAGAAAAATGTGAAAACAGTATTTGGCTACAGAAATGCATGTCTTAGTTATATTCTGACCAGACTACGGTCCTTGACGTACAACAGTTCCTTTAGTGACCATTCAAAGTCACAACAGCACTGAAAAAAGTGTCTTAGGACCATTTTTCACACTTAGAACCATTGTGGTATCCCCAGGGTCATGTGATCAAAATTCAGGTGCTTGGCAACTGACTCATATTTATGAGGGCTACAGTGTCCTGGGGTCACATGATCCCTTTCTGCAACCTTGTGACAAGCAAAGTCAATGGGAAAACCAGATTCATTTAAAAACCATGTTACCAACTTAACTTCTGCAGTGATTCACTTAGCAACTGTGGCAAGAAAGGTCGCAAAATGGGGCAAAACTCACTTAAAAAATGTCTCACTTAGCAACAGAAATTTTGGGCACAATTGTGGTCATAAATCAGGATTATCTGTATTGTAACTTGCTGTACTTTTATTTATTAAATTTATATGCCATCCATTTTGCTACACAGAGTGACTCTGGGTGGCTTACAATGCAATAAAACTAGAAATCCAAAAGCAATTATAAATGTACGGGCAATTAAATTTATAAGAATTAAATAGGTTATAACTAAGACTATTTCAAGTTATCAAGAGCATCCAGGTGACTCATAATGCAGTTCAAAAATACAGGTGGGCATTTAACCAGATATCATGTTATACTAATCCTGTAATAGCCACACAAATTATTAATCCTCAATTGGGCAGCTTATACCACCTTTAAAATATACATGTCTTTGACTTACATTAGGGATAATTTCCCTTTTTATTATCCTGAAAATCAAAAGAAGCACTTCTCAGTGAATCATCCAAAATGCAACAGAATGAGATCAGTCCTATTTAGTAGTTGAAGCCAGATGCAGAACATGCTTAGTTATGATTCTCCATTTGCCCCTCCCTCATTTTTCTTCAGATGCTAGAGCAGCGGTTCTCAACCTGTGGGTCAGGACCCCATTTGGGGTCGAACGACCATTTCACGGGGGTCGCCAAACAAGGCTGTCCGCCATTTTTCCCCCTTTTCTTTGGCCACGCCCCTGGCACCCGGTGATGTATAAGTGGTTGGGGGTCACCACAACATGGGGAACTGTATTATGGGGTCGCGGCATTAGAAAGGTTGAGAACCACTGTGCTAGAGAATGTTTCATTCTACCAGGTTTTCATTGGAATAGCAAAGTTTTACATTTAGGCAGGAAAAATCAAAGGTATAAGTACAGATTAGGCAAGACCTGGCTCAAAAACAGAAACTGTGAGAGGGACCTTGGAGTCCTAATGGATGATCACTTGAATATGAGCCAGTAGTGTGCAACATTAGCCCAAAAAGCTAATACAATCCTGGCTTGTATAAACAGAGGCATAGAATCAAGTCACGTGAAGTATTGGTACTGCTTTACAAAACCCTAGTGAGACCACATCTGGAATACTGCAACCAATTTTGGTCACCGTACTACTAAAAAGATGTTGAGACTTTGGAAAAAGTTCAGAGAAGAGCAACTAAAATGATCAAAGACCTGGAGACTAAAACATATGAAGAATGGCTGCAGGACTAGTTTAAAGAAAAAGAAAGGGGTGATATGATAGCAGTATTCCAGTATTTGAGGGGCTGCCACAAAGAAGAGGACATCAAACTGTTCTCCAAAGCACCAGAGGGCAGGATAAGAAACAATGGTTGGAAACT